TATATATATATATCATGCCTTTTTAAGTTTTATTTATTTCTATTGATTGATTGATTGACCCATTTTTATATGTATTTTTTTTTTATTTATATGAATTTGTTATATGTATTTATATGTATTTATTTGACTTTGAATGACTATACATTTAATAATAGTACTTTTTATTGCATTTTTATTCATATTAATTACTTTATCAGCTTTAGTTCTATGGAGACCTGCAGAATATTCATGAAAACACTCTTGAATAAAAACGTTTTATATAAACTTATAATACAATCAGGTGTCGTGTCTGTCGTCTAGGCGGTTCCGCTGAGGTCCGGATGGTTCTCTTGGGTCAGACGGGTTCAGGCCGGAGTTCATCTGGAAACACGATCCTGGGTCGCTCCGCGTTCTGGACGGACGTGTCGCCCGTGTCCGTCACCAAAAGCTGCCAGCGTTCAGAGGGCGTGGCGGATGGGCGGAGCCTGCGTGTGATTGACACCCCGGGGTTCTTCCACACCTGCCTGAGCCCGGATGAGGTGCGCGCGGAGCTGAGCCGCTGCGTGGAGCTGAGCGCGCCCGGACCGCACGCGTTCCTGCTGGTGCTGCGGGCCGGACGCGTTACGCGCGAGAGCAGCGCCGCTCTGGACTGGATTAGTGCCGCGTTCGGACCGCAGGCGCTCGGTTTCACCGTCGTCCTGATCACGTGCGGCGACGCGCTCGGAGCGAAGCCCGCGGGCGACTTCCTGAAGGAGAGCGAGGAATTATGGGAGTTTGCGTGCAGCTGCGCAGGCGGTTATCACGTGTTTGACAACACTAAAGGTACCGCCACATATTGAATTAATTATGATAATTGCAATTGCAACATTTTGGCTGCATCCGAAAACTTAGGCAGCTGCCTCGCTGCCGTATGAGGCAATGACTTTGCAAGCAGCGTTTTTGCACAAGGCACCTCCTGAAACTGATTTCGGACAGGCTTCTGAGGCAGCGTAACAGTTTAATGATCTACAACAAAATAGAACGAGTTTTGATAATAACTAAACAAATACTTAATTACTATAATACGGATTTCTCGCTAGAAATAACATCAAAAGTGCAGAAAGTTAGTCAGAAATATACATTTACACAAACTGACCACCAAACGCAACTTTAAGACACCATCTTTATTTTTTAGCTAAACCGTCACAGAATGGAACGCACAGGATTGTGGGATATCAAAGGCAGCGAAGGATACATCTATGCTGCCTTCAAAACTCGATCAGAAGAAGGTACCTCCGGAGACAGGAGGTATACACTCTGAATTGCGCTATATAAACTTGCAATTGAAAAAAAACAACTCAGAAATGCAAGATATAAACAGAATTGCGAGACAAACTCAGAATTGCGAGATGGTAACTCAGATTTGCAAGACAAACTGAATTGTGACATATAAACTCAGAATTGCGATACAATTCAGAATTGCGAGATATAAACTCAGATTTGCGAGGCAGAATTGTGAAATTTAGATTTGCGATATAAACTTGCAATTTTATAAAAACAACTCAGAAATGCAACATATAAACAGAATTTTGAGACAAACTCAAAATTGCGAAATAATTCAAAATTGCTAAATAATTCAGAACTGCTAAATAATTCAGAATTGCGAGATTATTCAGAATTGCTAAATAATTCAGAACTGCAAAATAATTCCGAATTGCGAGATAATTCGGAATTGCGAGCTATAAACTCAGATTTGTGAAACAGAATTGTGAAATATAAACTCAGAATTGCGATATATAAGAAAATCTCCACTCCATGATTTATTGTATCGAAGCAAAGTGTAACTATTTTATCATGCAGCCATAATCTGATAAATGCGACTATAAAGTAAGAAGATATTAAAATATTAATTAACAAGAAGCTGCTTAGAAACAGTGTGTATTGTCAGGAGCACTACAAAAATAAATGTGACTTGACTAAAGGTCTCGAGGAGAGGTCACAGGTCACCGAGCTGCTGCAGAAGGTCGATCTGCTGATGGAGCGTAACGCAGGAGCGCATTACACCGCCGACATGCTGCTGCAGGCTGACTCCGCCGTACGCCACATGCAGCAGAAGATTCTGGGAGATGATCAGGAGGAGGATGAGGAGGCGAGGAAGAGGGCGGAGCGTCTGTTCTGGTACGAGCTGCTGACGGCCATGGGCCGTGGTGCGGTGGAAGCGTCCGGCGTGATGGAGAAAGGGAAGGGCAAAGGGAAGAAGGTCAAAGCCGTGCAGAGGGTGGCGGCCATCGCCTCCACGCCGCTGTCAATCACATCCGCAGCTAAAGTGATGGGCGGAGCCGTGAGAGAGGGAGCCAAAGTACTGTACAAACAGAAGAAGATGCTCCTGCGCTAACACACACACACTTCACCTTTAGCAATACAATATAAGCAGATAAAAATACACAACATCTTCATCATCACTTCCTGTAGGTGTGATAAATCATCTGCACTACGAGATAATGCATGAATCCCCCCAATATATATATATTTTTTAAATAAATAATAATCTCACAAAATGTCCGGGACAATTCCACCAAAATTTTCTATTTTAAGACCATTAATATTATTTTGTGATGTATGTAATAAAGCACTTTCGAAACATACTAAAATGCATATTTAAAATTGTATTTAAAAGTATATATATTTAATTATGATTATATACACACACAGTATAACTATACATATATGTACATATTTAGTTGTACTTAATTTATGCTGATTTTATGTTTAGACAGGATGAGAATGGAAATTATTTTAATTGTGCTAAAAACACAAAATATTTTTTTATTTTGATTTATGGCAGCTTGAATGATAACGTCTGTTTAATGATCATGAATGTCTGATTCACTTGATGAATTAAAGAATGAGGAAATAAAGAGCTGTGACACGCAGATGGACTGGAGTGTGTTTCTGCACTCATTCGCTCTCAAGAACACAAGCGTTTGCTCTGCAGAGACAGAAACTCTTTATTGGCATGCTTTATAAAAACCAGGGCAGATAAACTGCCCATCTTCATTAAAAAAATCATTATGCTATTGCCAGACATCTGTTATATGTCACTCTCAGACTGAAATGTGGTTTATACAAACATTCATGTTCTTCACGGGTACATTGGCACAAAAACACTCAAAGATCCCAATCAAACGTCCCTTTACAGAATGAAAAACAATTTATAGTTGGTCATAAACTAGGGTGACCATGCTTGCCATTTTTCCTAGACAAGTCCTGGCCAGGATTTATATGTTGCCTAAAATATCCAGGTTTTCCTGTTTTCTTACTTGCTGAAGGTAATGATCGAAAAGTAGTTTGACCAATAACATGCAGGCATTGTACATGATCGACCAATCGTGGCACGTGAGAAGGTGGGCGCTACAGAGAACGGTCAAAGCGATGCAAAAACACGTAAGGGTGTTCGACTGGAAGAGGTGCTGCGCAGACCGATCAGTGTGTGACAGTGTCTGCTCTCTGTCCGGGAAAAATGGCACGTTATGGTCACCCTACAGAAAAAAAAACTAATGTACTACAGAAAGAAAAAAAATTAGAATAAACAAGAAAAGAAATACAGAATGTGGAGTGTTTCTCACACACACACACACATCCTCAACACTTTGTCTTTATGAACAGAAACACATTAAGGCATCAAAGACGAGACACGTCCAGCAGATCTGATCACTGTAAGGCACGATTACACCAGCCACACATGCAGCTCAAACACAAGAACTACAGCGGCGGCCAGTGATGATGTCACGACTGGGTGTGGCCTAATAGAGGGCGGGGCCTGATCCAATAACTCACACCGGCATTGGCAAACTCATCTTTCCACTTCCTCTCAGCACTGCAGATAGATAGATAGATAGATAGATAGAAGGTTGGATGGATAGACAGACAGACGCATCAATTGATAGATCGATAGACAGATGAACAGACCGACGGATAGACGAATAGGACAGATAGATAGATGGACCGACAGACAGATGGATAGACGAATAGGACAGATAGATAGATGGACCGACAGACAGATGGATAGACGAATAGGACAGATAGATGGACAAACAGACAGACGGATAGACAGACAGACGGATAGACGAATAGGACAGATAGATAGATGGACAAACAGACAGATAGACGGATAGACGAATAGGACAGATAGATAGATGGACAGACAGATGGATAGACGAATAGGACAGATAGATAGATGGACAGACAGACAGATGGATAGACGAATAGCACAGATAGATAGATGGACAGACAGACAGATGGATAGACAAATAGGACAGATAGACAGATGGATAGACGAATAGGACAGATAGATAGATGGACAGACAGACAGACGGATAGAAAGACAGACGGATAGACGAATAGGACAGATAGATAGATGGACAAACAGACAGATGGATGGATAGACGAATAGGACAGATAGATAGATGGACAGACAGACAGATGGATAGACGAATAGGACAGATAGATAGATGGACAAACAGACAGACAGATGGATAGACAGACAGACGGATAGACGAATAGGACAGATAGATAGATGGACAAACAGACAGATGGATAGACAGACAGAAGGATGGATGGACAGGCAGACGGATAGAAGAATAGGATGGATAGATGGACAGACAGATGGAGGGACAGTTGGACAAGTAGATGGACAGACAGATAAAAGAATAGACAGATAGATGGACAGACGGACAGAATGATAAATAGACAGACAGATGGACAACATATAGACAGATGGATACATTGATAGATAGATAGATAGATAGATAGATAGATAGACAGATGGACAACAGATAGACAGATGGATACATTGATAGATAGATAGATAGATAGATAGATAGATAGATAGATAGATAGAATGATAAATAGACAGACAGATGAAGGGACGGATAGACAGATGGACAATAGATAGACAGACAGACAGACGGATGCATTGACAGACAGATAGATAGATAGATAAAACGAAATACAAAGAAATAACAATCAATCAATAAATCATCTTCTAATTCATCTTCTGATCATTTCATGAAAACAGAGCTAAGATGATGAGTTGTGAGATGTCTGCTGACCTCTGGTGAAGTACAGATAGAAGAAATCGCAGTAGAAGATGGTCTGGACGACACCGGACACCACGGCGATCTGGTCGAAGAATCCCTCCACGTGATAGCGCCACACCCAGTTAGCGAGGTACAGCACACGGTACAGGCCCAGGAAGAACAGGTAGTGTGTGGTGATGGACTCAGCCTCGCCCGTCTTCGTGATCATGAAGAGCTGTGGCAGGATGGCCACCGACTCCAGATAGATGGAGAACGTCCACAGTATCTACACAAGCACAGAGATCTGTTATGACAGTGTTTCATCTTAACATCCAAAGCGCTGCATGTTGAGCTCTGACCTCCAGCGGTGTGAAGGCGTAGTTCTCCAGGAACGACAGACCGGCCACCGGCACCAGCAGGAACTCCACGCGGAACGAGTCGCTCTCAGAGTCGTACGAGTTCCTGAAGCGGAAGAAGATGAGGCTGACGGTGGCGTACGCCAGGACCAGATACACCACCTAAGAGACAGGCAGATCACAATCACTCCTCTGACAGACAGCTCCCGTCCCCAGTGGCTTTCTCTGGGATCCAAACCCACAGCCTGGTGTTGCAAGCGCCCTGTTCTACCAGTTGAGCTGCAGGAACGTAGTTTGAGTGTCTGTGGTTTGGCAGCTTCCGGAAACTAGCTGTGGGTTTGTCATGCACACTATGTCCTACAGCTTTGGATGAGTTTAAACAAATAATAATATATGATTTCAATGGGTGGACTATGATAACAATTCAGTGCAAACATCTACTGAGCAATCATAACAGTTTAAAGATCAGCTGTGTGTGCGTTTGTCTTTTATGGAAGACCATTTCTGCAAAAAAAAAAAAAAAGTGCTGAGGTAAATCATAACTTTGACAAACTATGAGATACTAAGTCATATCTATGAGATAAAACATCATAGTTATGTCATAAAAATTTTAAATTATGAGACATCAAGTTATAATTATGAGATAAAGTCAATTATGATGTTCAGTATCTCACAGAAGTGAGTACACCCTCACATTTTTGTAAATATTTTATTATATATTTTCATGTGACAACACTGAAGAAATGACACTTTGCTACAATGTAAAGTAGTGAGTGTACAGCTTGTATAACAGTATAAATTTGCTGTTCCCTCAAAATAACTCAACACACAGCCATTAATGTCTAAACCGCTGGCCACAAAAGTGAGTACACCCCTAAGTGAAAATGTCCAAATTGGGCCCAATTAGCCATTTTCTCTCCCCGGTGTCATTGTGACTCATTAGTGTTACAAGGTCTCAGGTGTGAATGGGGAGCAGGTGTGTTAAATTTTGTGTTATCGCTCTCACTCTCTCATACTGGTCACTGGAAGTTCAACATGGCACCTCATGGCAAAGAACTCTCTGAGGATCTGAAAAAAATAATTGTTGCTCTACATAAAGATGGCGTAGGCTATAAGAAGATTGCCAAGACCCT